CTATCTATCTATCTATCATCTATCTCTCATATATGACATCCTGAACAGATTCCCCTCCTTCTGGCCCTCCCAGCCCACCCCTATCCACTCCTCATATTAACACTGGACAACACAACCCAGTAGGAGGACAAGGGTCCCAAGAGCAGTCAAAAGAGTCAGAGAGCCCCTGCTCCTACCGCTAGGAGTCTCACAAGAAGCCCATCCTACACAGCCATCACATATAAGCAGAGTGCCTAGACCTAGAGGGTCAGACCCATGCAGGCTCCCTGATTGTTGGTTCAGTCTCTGTGAGCCCCTGCGAGCCCAGGTTAGTTGATTCTCACAGAGTAATCTTTATCCACCACAGTTTTAGGAGTCTGAAGAGATAAGCTCCTGTGCTGCGGATTCATCATTCTCCTTTGAGCTTGTCTTTCAAGATGTCTACAAGGGCAAGTTCCTCAACCAGAGACTTTCCCAGAATGCTGATAACACATGCCATAAAACTTTTCTGAAACCTCCTGTGGTGATCTTATTGCATGGGGTGGCGCCTCCTCTTCTGTACCAGGTGTGATGAACATTTCCTTAAAGGCTGCCATATTGCCCAGACAAGAAAAGGCTCACAGAGCACTGAAATGGGGATCAACACAAAGTCATCAATCTCATGAGCCCTTATTTTCAACTCTTTGGAAAGGAGATCAAAAAACATGGACACATCTAGACCTCCTTACCCTCCATCCACTGATAACAAAGTTTCTTTGAGTCTTTTTAGGCTATAGTTTAGTAATTCGAACTAGTTATACCAATTCCTAGTCAAGTTCTATTTTAAATCAAACAAAATATCTAGACAGAACAATTTCCAGGCTCCCTTCCATTACCAGCATTCTGTTGATGACAATTTTAGATTTAAGACGTTATCTTAGGATCTGAGAATTATTTTATCCTTATTCAAACAGTTGGCCTTTAAATCTCTTTTAAGAGGCATAATGCTATCCAAAGATCCATCTAATGCTTTTAATGTAACTTTTAGAACCTTATAATTTTAAAAACAATTATTTTCATATATATCAAGCTCTGTGATGTAGGTGATGCAAGAACTATGCTTTCCCTTGGTCCTTGTAACTGGACTGATTTAGACTTGGCCTCCTCGAAGCACAGCTTGTCCATCACTCAGCAAGACAGGTGAACAGGACAGGTGCAGCTGTACCTTAGGTTGCTTGTATCTTGTAGAGCAAAACAATAATTACAATAAAGTGGAGTGTGTGATGACGGAAGATTGGAGACTTTGCCAGGGGGAATCTGTTTCAGAATGGAGGACAGTGAAGAGCCTTCTAGAAAAGTTACAGTCAAAGTGAAAAGAAAGAAACTGCTTCCATCGGGCGGAGAGAGAGCCAGGGAAGGATGATGCAGCGAGGGAAATACAGATCCTGTGCCTTGAGATAGGATTTCCCCAGTACCACCTGTGTGCATTGGTAGAAGTAAGGCAGGAAAGAAACGAGAGGCCAGAGACAAATGCTGCTCAACTAGCAGATTATTTCTATGTCCACTGTGGGAGAACCCTCGGGATTACTGTTCCCACTGAGTAATTTCAGCCACGTTGCATCAAAACAGGCAAATTTTGGTTAATTTAATAGAATACTGAATAGATGTGCATCCTGGGCCATCTGTGAAACTCTGAATGCATTTCATGGCAAGAGTCCTTAGCAGGTACTTGTTCCTCAGGGACAGTGTGATTAATACCATGTGACCCTGGAGACATTTTTCTGCCCATGTGTAGATATCATCACCAAAGACTGTGAGGCAAAAACTCTGCCTCATTGAAGTACATTGGTCTGGAAAATAACCAATGGAGACAGTTACAACATGTACAGAGAAAATAGAAAAACAAGGGAGTCCATGGATACTCTTCTTCAGAAAGCAATAGAAACGATGGTTATTAAGGAAATCCTTAGAGGGCAGAAGAGATTTAAAAGAGTGGGAAGGACAAACAGACACCATAAAACATAGGTGAGAAGCCAAAGCAGAAGGAGCCACAGAAAAATCTGGAATGACTATGATGGAAAAATGAGTAAATGGCAATTCTATCAAAGTCTGGAAGCAGCAACAGCAACAGCAGCATGCTGCAAGTGTGATGTGGAGTTGGGATTTATGCACGGCTGCTTGGAGGGTTGACAGTAACAGGCTTGCTAGCGAGCAATTTGACACTACTCAGACAAATTAACATGGATCCCACATAGGCATCCCAAGAACATCTCAGCAAAGTCCAGAGGGAACATGTTAGGATATGTTCATTGTGTTCATAGTAGTAGGAACTTGAGGGTGATATGGAAATCTACCAATGCAAATTAGGTAGGTAGCATCATGAGAGTAACACATCACATGAACTGTGCAAGAGAAAGAACAGGGAACCTGGATAAACACCCAGTAACTTAGACACATTTACAAACAGTGCTATAGAAGAATTAAGTCACAAAGATAAGCATGGTGGTACATAACTTTAATTCCAGCAACCAGGAGACAGAAGCAGGTGGATGGATATCTATGAATATAAGGTTAACCAAGCCTACAGAGTGAGTTTAGGTCAACCAGGATTACATAGTAAGACCCTGTTTTAACAAAATAAGAATTAAGAAGTATAAAGATACATAAAATTTCCTTTTTCTTATAGAAAATATATATATTAGAAAACACATGTTTTTAAAGAACACATACAAAACAAAAGATGAATATAAATTAAGCCCAAATGAGAGTGATTACCTACAGGGAATAGGCAATAGGAATATGATGTATTCTTATCTCCTACTTACAAAGTGAAGAAAAGAAAGGAAGAAGAAAATGAAGGGGTGGAGTAAAGAATTCCTCCTCCACAGTGAAGCACTCACGTCCCAGGCTAGTCCTGTGTCCTGGAAGCAAGAGTCTAAAGTAAGGCATGCTTTTCCTGATCTGGGACACTCCACTACATAGTGGAGAGTTTCTGGACATCCTGAAAACCCTGTGTTTGTAATAAACCCTCTCATCTGAAGTCATCCGAATATCTCAGTGTATACCCAAGTCCCATCACAGAGATGAAGGTTAGGATACTTTTATCAGACAATTGTTAAGTACTGTGCTAGTTGAAGGTTTTCTCTAGAAAATACCACTTGGTCCTTAGCAACTGTTTCGTGCATGAGTACAATCCTCTCTGTTCTGCAAGGGAGGGAAACTGGAGCACAGAGAGGTTGCCACAGTCTCCAAGTCATACAGCCAATAGGTGGTTGGCTGCGCTTCAGATCCAGACAGTGTCAACCTGGGCCTGGGCTTGGAACCACAGAGCTGTATCAAAAGACTCTCTGGAGCAAAGGCCATTTAGCAAGTGGCTAAGCTCTCCCAGTGTTAGGCTTGGCTAATTTCTCAGACTCCCTAGATGTCGTTACTCACTAACCCTGGCACACCAGTTAATACAGCACCAGACTGGGAAAACAAAACAAAACAAACAAATCTGAAATTCTGTGTCTACCCTTGCTCTCTCAACCCCACTAACGACACTGGATTTGGACCCAGCCATTCTTTCTCTCTGGGGTAGAGTGACCTTGAGTTCATTGAATTTATCATTAAGCTTCTGGGGTCTGTCTCTTCATCTGAAACACTGAGGACACTGACAGATAGCTCTCAGATATGTTGCTATAGGGATCCAATGAGATAACAAACAATAAACAACCGTGAATAGGCCATGGCCCATGTTGGGGTGAGTGGGACACAAGTGGTCCTCCCTCCTACCCCCCAAATCCTACATTGTTCCCTTTGTTATATTGTGATACAGCCCAGGAGAAATAGGGCATCCACTGTCCTGGGCATCTTGTGTGAGCCTTCACTTGACGACAAGGACTGCAGTGGCACTGTTGTGTAAGTTTGGTGTTTTATAGGCCCCCAAAAAACTAGCCAAGTGACCGTGAACTGAAATCTCTGGAACCGTGAGCATAAAGGAGCCATTCATAGGCTGTTCATATCGGGTATTTCTTTGTTATAGCAATGAAAAGCTGACTAACAGTATCTGTTCTCAATTTTCTTGGCAACTGGAACACTTTGGCCTGGGATTTTCACACTCACGACACCTGCTCTTGAGACTTGAAATGTAAGTAGAGGCAAACAGTGAGAATATGGTAGCAAAAAGGAATGCTGCATTGGAGATGTGAGCCGATGGAGAGGCTGAGCAGAGTGGAGCTGTACATCCGCAATTTACTCAAGTCCTTGTGGTTATTGTGTGGTGGGCCATTCTCTCTAAGTCTCTGTTCCCTCACCTGCAACAGTACTGGCCTTAGGAGGTATCAGAAGAGATAATGGATGAGAAGAGTTCATGCATGCCAAGTCCATTGGAATACTTAACAAGCAAATATTAACCTGGCCTGTGTCCTCTGGAATGCAGTATTCTTGCCTGCAAGATGAAGGTAGTAGCTGCAGAGATCACATAAGAGTTCCATCAGGACCAAGTTATGTGGCACCCAGAAAGCACTGGGCATAGCACTTGACTATAAGCCCTTGGTAATTGTTAGGCACGATGCTTATTTTGTGCATCCAAAACCAGAAGGAAACAGAAGTGTTGAGATATATCATGTGCTAATGTGTGCAACTAACTTTGATACGCGTAGGGCAAGATGGATTTGGTAGATGAATAAGGGTATGGAGAAATGGATAGAAACGACCGAACCAATCTTAGCTGATGAATCTCGTGATGAGCACATGCAGGCTCACCCACATTCTTACAGCAAGTCTGTGTGTTTAAATTGTTCACAGTAAAAATGTGGTGAGAAAAACAGAACAGCGATCTGAATGTCAAAATGGTCGAAGAACCAGGATTCCAATAAGGAAATGGTATGAGAGGGACTGGAGGGTCACAATGAACTACCCTGGCTGCCTTTTCTTGCTGTAGAAGACAACATCTAGTATCAAGGCTGTGAAGCCTGAAGGTGTACTTCTCTTCTGAGGTATGGTGAGATACCGGTGCTTGGGAGCAACAGTCACTGTCAAGACTAGGGGGAACAGAGCACACCTCTTAGATTCACATCTTGGCCCTGCGTTTTCTAGCTTGGTCAGCAGGGAGAAGTCGCTGAAGTCACAGCACTTCATTTCCTTCCCTGTGAACGTGAACATAACATCACTTATCTCCTAAGACTGCTTCCGAGTTTACTTGAATTAATATCACCATCATCCCATGTTAGGAAAACCTAATGTCTCAGTTCTGATGTTTTCCCCAAGGCTCCACCTCACTCCGTTATTAACTGGAGACATCTGGAGAGACTCAATTGCAGGAGGACTGGAGAATGGTAGGCAGGGTCGGAGCAGGTGAAGTTGGGCTAAGAGCTGAGTGGGAGTCAGCTCCCAGAAACACGTATGTTCAGGCACTAGTCTGATGAACGCAGAGATCTAGGTTTTTTTTTTTTACTTGCTCGTTCTCTGTCAGGCACGTGGTGTCTAATGTTATATTTAAAACACTGAAATTATAACCCTGCCATAGTTCCTTTGCAGGCTCTTCATCAACCTGGGCAGAGCGTGTGGCTGGCAGGGAGCCAGCCTCATCCCCTGACCTCCTCCTCCTCCACGTGACTCAGCACAGAGCAGTCATTTTAATAGCTCCTGAGTCCAAGTTTGAACTTGCCCCAAATGAAAGCCTCCCTCCCTCTCCACACTTTCTCTCCGTTCTCCCAGCCCACACTCTCCATTTCCAATTTATCAGCTAGTAAATTCTGACTTGAACTTGGAGCCAGCGTTTCATTTGTTTTTGGCAAAAGATCAAATTCTTCCAAGAAAAGAAACGAAAAAAGGAGGGGTGTGGAGGGAGGCTCAAGAAGAAAAAAAAAAGCCTACTTAAACAAAAAGAGGCTCCCGGAGACAACTCCATAGCGCCGAGGTGCTCAGTGAAGAAAGAATACATCTTTGGATGTACTAAAGTGTGAGTGAGGTTGAAACAGAGTTTCAAATAAGTTGAGCGTGCAGCGGGGGGGGGGGGAAAGATACCTGCCCTGGGAAGATCATGGGGTCACTGGGACACTGGAGACTTTCAAACTGGAGGAAGGGTTCGATGGGAGCATGGGACCCACATTCATTTTCATTGTGGCTCGTGTGGTCCCTTGTGCTTTCGGGTAGATGAAAACATTCTGCGAACAGACTGTGCCGATGGAGCCGATAAGCTTCGGAAGCACCAGGTGTCTTTCTAGCCATGCCAACTAACCTGAGTTATGGAAGAGGTCATACTATATAGCAGCACAATGATGGAGAAAGGTAAACTGAATTAAGACGGACAGAACTTAAGTCTGATCGTAGCCATCAGCTTGCGGAAATTCTTCCTAAGGTCGGTAATGTTGGTTGATGGAAATATTACAGAAAATGGTGAGGGCTCACTCATGTTATAAGCAGCGTTGTAAATGATCCTATCTGTCTAGAAGGAAATCTGACATTTCCTTTCTCTAGTCTGGCCCCCACATTAGTGTTTTAGTCACCTCCTTCCATGCTCATTGGCAATCATTTCTCACATGTACCATTTGTATCATTTTTGCATGGATATGTATAAAATATGGGTTATTATTTTAAGGGAATTTTTCTTATTTGACAAAAATGGCATTACAGCATACATTTTATGTAGCGATATTATGTTCCCCAATATACTGTGCATCCTAATAAACTTATCTGTGGTCAGAGAACAGAACAGCCACTAGACATAGAGGCCAGAAAATGGTGGCATTTCACACCTTTAATCCTGTCACTTGGGAGGCAGAGATCCATCTGGATTTCTGTGAGTTCAAGGCCACACTGGAAACAGCCAGGTATGGTAACAAGAGCCTTTAATCCCAGGAAGTGATGGCAGGAAGCAGAAAGGTATAAAAGATGTGAAAACCAGAAACTAGCCTGGTTAAGCTTTTAGGCTTTTGAGTAGCAATTCAGCTGGGATTCATTCTGGATGAGGACTCAGAGGCTTCCAGTCTGAGGAGACAGAATCAGCTGAGGAATTGGTGAGGTGAGGCTATGGTTTGTTCTGTTTCTCTGATCTTCCAGCATTCACCCAATACCTGGCTTCAGGTTTGTTTTTCTTAATAAGAGCACTTAAGATTCATGCTACAATTTTACTTTTTAAATTTGGCACTATATTTCCAACATTCTTTTTTCTTTTCTTTTCTTTTCTTTTTCTTTTCAAGACAGGGTTTCTCTGTGTAGCTTTGGAGCCTGTCCTGGAACTCACTCTGTAGACCAGGCTGGTCTCGAACTCACAGAGATCCACTTGCCTCTGCCTCCCGAGTGCTGGGATTAAAGGCTTGTGCCACCACTGCCTGGCTTTCCAACATTATTTTTCAAGCGCATTATTTTTCAAGTGCTTCAAATTTCTGTGCAGAACGCCATCACATATATTCAGTAAAGTTTCCCCAATAATTCTCCAGTAATAGACTTCCACTCCCCACCAACTTCTCCTTCTTCCCCAGACGAAAACAATGCAAACAAAACAAGAACAAAATACCCCTCCCAAAGAGACAGTGAACTCCCTCATACTGGTTAGATTTTTGGCAACCTAGAGTCATCTGTGAAGAGGGAACCACAATTGAGAAAATGTCTCCATCAGATTGGCCTTTTGGCAAGTCTGTGGAACATTTTCTTGATGAATGATTGACAGGGAAAGGCCCAGCCCCCAGCCCACTGTGGGTGGTGTCACCCTTAGGTAAATGGTCCTGGGTTGTACAAAAGAGGAAACTGAGCATGCCTGCCAAAAAAGAGCAAGCCAGTAAGCAGTTTTCTACCATGGTTCCTGCCTCTGTCCTTGTTTGAGTTCCTGCTCTGACTTCCCTCAATGATAGATTGTGACTGGGATGTGTAAGTCAAATAAACCATTTCTGCCCCAAGTTGCTTTTAGTAATCGTCTTTATTATAGCAACAGGAAGCAAAGCAGGCCACCCCCTCCATGAATGGGGCAGCATTTCTTTGTATATCCATGTCTCTATCTGTATCCATGTCTACAAATCTAAATCTATTTACGTTCATTTAGGATAGACTTACTGAATGTTACTATGTAAGTATATTTAGTTTGATTAGCAAAGAGGTCAATGTAATAACAGCTCTTCAAATTATAAGTTTATATATATATATATATATGTATGTATGTATATATATATACATACATATACATATGTATGTGTATATAGGCATATACACATACATATGTATATTTTATCTATAAAAGTATGTATTTTTTTCATGGACTTGGTGCTGCTGAAACCTGTGCCCACACATTTACCAAGGTAAGCATATAAGGAAATCACAGCCACACTGTGTATTAGAAAATTGTTGTGGGTCTCTGAAGTTTCATGGAAGCCACATCCCTAACACATATGACTATGCAGGGAAGAGCCAGGACAAGGTTGAGAGTGCATCCAGGGAGCTAGTTCAAGGACAAGCCCAGGTCCTCCACAGGCTCATGGACCCTGCAGAGGCAGGTAACTTCTCACCCCTTCTTTGTCAGTGGTATCATGGGGATCACAGTCCACATTCATGAGTCAGAGTCCTAGGAGGAAATAAATTGCACACTCAAATTGAGTGACTTGAACAACTTTAGAGGTGTAGGACTGTTTATTGTAGCTGAAGCTTTCCTGTGTCCCGCCTGGCCCGCTGTCAGGAGAAATCTCTGTCACCCACTGGTCCCACAGCTGCTTGGACCCAAATAAACACACAGAGGCTTATAATGATTAAAACTGCTCGGTCATTATTTCGGGTTTACTAATGACTAGCTCTTACACTTAAACTCAGCCCATTTCTGTTAATCAATATGTCGTCACATGTTCCATGGCTTTACCTTGTGCCATTACATGTTGCTCCCTGGACGGTGGGCTGGCGTCTCTTGACTCAGCCTTCCTCTTCTCAGAATTCTCCTGGTCTGCTTATCCTACCTATACTTCCTGCCTGGCTACTGGCCAATCAGCGTTTTATTAAATGAAAGCATTACCTCACAGCAGTTTATAAAGATTTAGTGAGGGTAAGGGGACTGTACTGTTAATTTTTCTCAACTTGACACAAGCTAGGGTCATCTGGGAAGAATCTCAGTTGAGAAAAGACCTCCATGTAGTTTTTGTTGTTGTTGTTTATAACTCTTTACTCCTTGAGGATCCACCCAGCTCCCAAATAAATACATGGAGATATATTCTTATGAATGCCCAGCCTTAGCTTGGCTTGTTCCTAGCCAACATTTCTTAACTTAAATTATCCCATCTACCTCTGCCTCTGAGCTTTTACCTTTCACTATTCTATATACCTTTCTTTCCTGCTTACTCCATGGGTGGCTGTGTGGCTGGCTGGCTGGCCCCTGGGTTCTTCCTCTCCTTCTCCTTATCTTAATCCTCCTCCTCCTCTTCCTTCTCACTCTTCTCTTTAGCCTAGATTTCTCCCCTTATTTATTCTCTCTGCCTGGCAGCTCCATCTATCCCTCTCCTGCCTAGCTATTAGCCATTCAGCTCTTTATTAGACCAATCAGGTATTTTAGGCAGACAGCACAGCTTCACAGTGTTAAGCAAAAGTAACATAAAAGAATGCAAGATGTCTTTGCATCATTAAAGCAAATGTTCCACAGCATAAACAAATGTAACACATCTTCAACTAATATTCTACAGCACCTCCATTAGAAAGGCCTGCAAGCAAGCATGTGGAACATTTTATTGATTAGTAGTAGATGTAAGAGGGTCCAGCCCACTATGGGCAGTGCTGTCCCTGGGCAGGTGATTCTGAACTGTATAAGAAAGCAGGCTGTGAAAGCCACAGATGAGCAAGCCAGTGAGCAATGTTCCTCCATGGTTTCTGATGTATTTCTTGCCTATAGGTTCCTGACTTGAGATATTGCCATGGCTTCCCCTCATCATGCACGATAATCTGTAAGGTGAAAAAAACCTTTTCCTCCCCAGTACACTTTTGGTCACACTACTTTATCACAGCAATCAGAAGCAAACTAAGATCAAAATTGGACCAGAGAGTGGACTCCTGCTGTGACAGATCTGGCCATGTTGTTTTGGGGGAAGATTATGCTGATGTTTGGAACTTTAGACTAGGAAATCCATGGAGTGTTCAGAGATTAATCATCTGTTGTGGGAACTTAATAATGCTGAGAACAGTGCAGAATATGGTGGTCTGGCTGGTAAAGTTCACAGGGAAGAAAAGACTCTACCAGGGCCATTCATGTAATATTTTGGATTGAGAATATATAGAAGTGAATGTTTGCTTTGCTGAGACCATCAATAGGGCCATCTGGGTCTGAGAAATCATCTGTGATTAAGAAGAGCCCAGCCTTACTGAGACGAAATCTGTTGGAAGTGCTTCCTCAGGGTTAGTGTGCAGAAGCTGTGGTCAGCATCTCATACCCACTGCTGCACCTGGGAATGTGTAAGAGTCTCTACATGTTACTGCTTTTGGCTCCATGGGAGCTGCATAATTTAGGACGGCATGGAGTTACAGTTGAGGTTTGGCATCATGGGATGTCAAGAGAGGCCATCAGGGAAAGGGTAGCAGCTTCAGCTGTACTGGAGACCCTCAGATTGACTGGGTCATGGAAAGAAGCTGAGGCCTGACACTGTAGTTGGCATTGTCTTTGGGCCGCCAACCAGCTCCCAAATAAAGACATGGAGATGTACTATCAGTTATGAATGCCCAGGCTTAGCTCAGGCTTGTCCTACTAACTCTTTTAACCTAATTTAACCTGTTTCTGTTCATCTATGCCTTGCCTCGGGGCTTTTTACCTTTCCTTCATTTTGTATGTCCTACTTAGCTACTTCCTCTGTATCTGTGTGACTGGTCCCTGGCATTTCCCCATTGTCTCCTTTTCTTTCTTCCTCAAGCCTAAATTCCTCCTCCTACTTAATTTCCCTGCCTGGAAGTTCCACCTTTACCTCCTCCCTCGTTATTGGCTGTTCAGCTTTTTATTAGACCAATCAGGGGCCTTACACAGGCAAGGTAAAATAACAACACATCTTTACACAGTTAAACAAAGGCAACACATCTTTCCAGAGTTAAAGAAATGCAGCACATCTTTGCAGAGTTGAACAAATATTACACAACATGACATCATGAGAGGAAAGGAGATGCCACAGGTGAAAGACTGGCTTCACTGCCCTGGAGGTGACTGATTGAAGGAGCCATGGAGAAGAGCTGAGACTTGGCATCATATGGTTGGAGTCCCTGAAAAAAGGCTTGGAGACCATTGTTGAAGGTACAGACTGTGGAGAACCCAGGATATTTGGGATGCCAGGACTATGGGATGGCTTCCAAGGACAGCAACAGCTGTAGAGGTGGCCTGAGCCTATAAAATGAGCTAAGTGGGGCTGGAGAGATGGCTCAGTAGTTAAGAACACTGGCTGCTCTTTCAGGGGTCCTGAGTTCAATTCCCAGCAACCACATGGTGCTCACAACCACTTGTTGTAGTGAGGTTTGATGTCCTCTTCTGGTGTGCAGGCATACATGCAGGCAGAACACTGTATGCATAGTAAATATTAAGTCTTTTAAAAAATGAGCTAATTTAAAACATGAGTGTGTTGTGAATGGGGAATGTACTTGAGGGATGCCGAAGAGGTATGCCTGCACAAGGTCTGTATAACCCAGAAGCAAAGCAGGACATCCCATTGTGAATGTGTCAGCCTTTCTTTGTATATTCATGTCCATATATGCATCCATATCTACAAGTCTAAATCTATTTACCTCTGTTTAGGATAGACTTAGTGGGTCATACTATATGAGTATATTTAGTTTGATTAGCAAAGAGACCAATTTGATAAGATCTCTTCAAATTATGTTACATATATGCATGAACTTGGCACTGCTAAAAATATGCCCAAACATTTATCAAGATAGTTCTGTAAGAGTATTTACGGAAACATTGTATATTAGAAAAACGCTGTGGGTCTCCAAGTATGGAAGCCCCACACGTGATTCTCTAAGATGGGCGACTCTGAAGAGAGGAGAGGACACAAGGTTGAGAGTACATCCAGGGAGTAAATACAAGGATCAGGTCCAGGTCCTCCAGGGGCTAATGCACCCTCTATGGTCAGGTAACTTCTTGCCTCATTTTTTTTTGTTAGTGGTGTCATGGGAATCACAGTTCATATTCATGAGTCAGAGTCCTAGGAGGAAACAAATTGCATACTCAAATGGAGTGATTTGAAGAGCATTGAAGGCATAGGACTGTTTGCAAAGGTTTAGTGAAGGTAAGGAAACTGTGCTTGCTGTGTGTGTGTGTGTGTGTGTGTGTGTGTGTGTGTGTGTGTGTGTGTGTAAAAGCCCAGGTCGTCTGGGAAAAGGGAACCTCTGCTAAGAAAATGTCGTCATCAGATTGGCCAGTAGGTAAGCCTATGGAGCATTTTCTGGATTAGTGATTGATGTGGAAGGGCCCAGCTCATTGCTTCTGTAGGTTGTGTAAGAAATAAAGAGGGCTGGAGAGATGGCTCAGCCCTGAAAGGCTAGGCTCACAACCAAAAATAAAAGAAATCAGGAGCAAGGCGAGCAAGACATAAGCAAGCCAGTTAGTAAGCAATGTTCTTCCATTTGCCTCTGCTTTAGTTCCTGCCTCCAGGTTCCTGCCTGAGTTCCTGCCCTGACTTCCCTTCATGACATGTCATAAAATGGAAAGTGAAATGAATGTGGTTTCTTTTTTTTCCCCCAAGTTGCTTTTGGTCATGGTAATTTATCACAGCAATAAAAAGCAAACTAAGATAGAGGCTATGTCTATTCCTGGGCTAGCAAAGGTGGGGGAGTCATTTCTGGGAATGAGTGGGAAGAGGGACTACCATCTACCAAGCCGAAGACTGCTGTGTGAAAAGGACCACTAATCAAAGCTCTGGCTTTCTGTTTCAGGAAACCAGCAGGAGAGCAGGAGGTACATACTCCTCCTCAGCTCTCCCTCCCCATCTCTTCTGCTGTCCTGGGGTTGACTCCAGTGGAGAGTAAGAAGCAAGGAAGCAAGAGCACTGTGGTTGCTTTCCACGAAGTACAATGTGGACTTGGGTTGGGTAGGCAAATGGAAAGAATCTAAGGAATCCTGCAGAATCCTTTTGCAGCCTTTGTGAGAATTAGATGAACACTTCAGTCAAACACGATTAGCAGAATGAGCACCCAGAACACAGGGCTAGTGTTGTTATCCATATCTTGTACATTTCTTTATTGATTGGCAACTAAAACCTTTGAGTCAATGTAGTTGACTACAGCAGATAAGGTTACTGTGGTATATAACACCAACTAAAGGAAGACAAAAGCCGCTAGTGAAAGGTGTGTGGGCCTTTTGGAGAGAGAGAGAGGGAGAGAGAGAGAGAGAGAGAGAGAGAGAGAGAGAGAGAGAGATGCACCAGCTTCTCTTTGAGGAAACAGTTCTTCAATGCAGAGATGCCACCATTCTTTTCAACTGAAGTCACTGCCCCATCACTCTCTTCAAGCTTTTCCGTCCAAAAGACCAGACAATTGTAGTGTTCTCTGAACTGGGAACCAAGCCCCACCACCCAGAAAGGAGCTTGTATTACTATGGGCCCCATTAGGAATGAGGTGCCATCTGAACCAATGGCATCATTGTACTCATCAAAGAGACTTTGGAGGACTAAGGACCATCCCTGGGCAGCAGCTTACCTTGGATAACTGAAAACACATATCTTTACCTTCAACAGCCTGGCGTGGTTTTCTGGGTGGTTGTCAAGGAATTTGTAATCATTAGAGCTGTCTGAAAGAATCGAGGAAGTTTCCTGTCCTCGTAAGTGTTGGATTGGAACTGGCAAACCACCTGCACAGATATTACAGAGAAGCCAGGTGACCTCAGAGCTCATTCCATGCAGGAGAACTCTGCAGAGCAAGGGGAGTGCCGTTAGAATTCTCACATTAAAAATCGCTTCCAGGGCTGGAGATACAACTCAGTGGTGGAGTGTTTGCCTGGCATATGCAAAGCCCTGAGTTCAATCCCGAGCACCAAGGAGACATTTCAAAGGGAGCAGGCATAAATTCAGGCAAGAGGATTGTCATGAGTTTGAGGCCAGTATGAGCTACACAGTGAGACTTCATCTTAAAAATCAAAACAAAATAACCACCGTATAAGAATTGTTTCTCTATAGAAAGAAGCCAATATGTTATATCCCTCAAAACCCCAGCTTTGGAATTAGGACACAGGCCATGCTTATCAGTCAACGGAGTGGCTTTCCAACTCCTCTGTTCTTCTCATCCCCATGCCCTTGATGTCACGAGAGGGTGAGTTGGAATGTTTCTAAGCTGCCTTTGTTGAGAGTTTATAGCTGGTCAGGAGATAATGTTCCATCATGGGTATACGGATGAACACAGGGCAGACCCACAGTGAAGGAATAAAACCCACAGACTTCCAGGGCCCTGCACTGTTCACTGTGTTCCTGGATAAAAGAAGCTCATGCTGGGGGCTTAATCAGTGTTGAAAACGTCTTCTTCAGTACTGTTCAATGAGCTCACAGAGGCCTGAACTCTTAGACCAGATACCACTTACATATTGTCAACTTGCGTTTATGGCCAGAATACAGAAAGGAGGCTTGTTGTACATTCTCAGGAGCCTGACTCCTGAAGAGGCTAAGAAGATGCTGCTGCTTCTAGCCACATTGTTTCCATAGCAACTACAACCTGGTGGCAGGGACAGGAATCTATTTTCTCATAGATCCAGAAGGTAGAGATTGAATTATTAGCAGGATAGTTCCTTCCTAGGGCCAAGAGGGGAGAATCTACCACGGCTGTTGGCTTTACCTTGTAGACGGCCCCGAGCTTTAAGAGTTCTCTTTGACTTTCGTCCCTCTTTGCATATCCGACCCATTGTGAGTTTACCTGTCAGATGAGAGAGTTAGGGCTACCCCAATGACCTCACTGAACCCAGTTGTCTCTGTAAGCACTGTTTTCAAATAAGGTAATATGCTGAAGTACTAGGGGTGAGACTATCAGCACATGATATAATCCAATCACACATCTATCCATTCCACCCTGCCCGGTCCATTGGGCATGTCCCCCTTGGCAAGATGGGTAATTGGCAGTGTGTCATGACAACAGCTGTCCTCTCCTTTAGATGCTTCCCCCCATTTGGCTTCTTACCCCTCCCTCCAATTTTAAACTAACATTTGTTTTTTATATAAATGTTTCCTTGGATGTTGTGGGTGGTGTATTGATGTATGGCAGAAAGCTAGGCAAAGACGTGAACACACACATACACACACAGCATGTGTGTAGGGGAGAGCTTTTCTTACGTTTCTCTTTTCAGAGCTTCTGTTCACCGCAGTACAGTATTTAATTTGTGGGTTCTTGTTACGTCTCCAGTTTCTACAGAAATAATTAATCTTATATTCTTGCCTCAGGGTTTCCCTGAAGGAAACATGCACAACACAACAAAGTTGTTGCTTAGTGTAAAGGCTGTCTCATCTTGGAAATGACCCTACCAGACATTTACATTGGCCTGGGTCCACACACCCATCCACGGCAGTGGTCATCTCCATCCTGGACTCAAATGACCCGCTTTGCAACTGAGCTCATCCCATCGCCCCAGGAATGGTGACGAGGGAGGGCCCTGAAGGAATGTCTTCTGATGTCCCCAAAGGCTGGAGCTCCTGGGCTTGGTCACGCTCATGATGGAGACAGTCTAGTTGGTGTCCAACAGTTCAGATGATCACCAAGGAATGATTCCCAAGTCCATTCTCCAGGGTACTTTTGATTTCCTTTTTAGGTTAACTGTTAAAAGTAATATACGATTTTCTGAACTTTGAAATGAGCCAAGTATTTAAACTGACTAGAAATAAGTGTCTCAAGCCTACATCTCCTCAAGAAGTTCCTACAACTTCATGTAGCGAAGCTTTCGTGCCTCTCATCGGGGGAACAGATACAGGCCATTTTGAAGTCTTTGGAGTTCACACAGAGGGCAGAGAAGCCAAATGTTCTCAGGGACTTAGTGGATAGAGATGCACTCTCTCACTCCTGTCTCCTGGCTTCCTGGGGTGTGTGTGGGGGGAATGCTTCTTCCAGCAGACCCATTGTCTGTGCCTGATTTCCCTCTCCAAAGCTGTTCACTGAATGTCCCAAAGACAGCCATGAGCCACAAGGGATCTCCATTGTCCCCTTCTCAGTATTGCTAGCCATGAACATTGTGCCACCCCGAGTTCCAGTGTAGGAGAAAGAGCTAGGACCCTATCATCACACCTGGCTACCACCCTATTATCAAACAAGGCAATCTCAGTGCAAAAGAACATGCTTTACCTTTCACCAAAAAACAAGCAAGCAAAGCAAAGCAAACAAACAAACAAACAAATAAATAGGAGCACCAAATTGAAGGGGAAAAAATGTTATGAAAACCCAGAACTCGAGGATGGAGAGATGGCTCTGTGGCTCATGGCTATTGCTATAATTCCCGAAAACAGGAGTTTGGTTCCTAGCACCCATGCCAGGCATCTTCACAACTGCCTGTGACTCTAGTGTCAGGAGCTTCAATGTCTTCTTCTGGTCTCTATGTGCACTAGCACACACTTGTACAAATGCACACACAGATACATACACACACACATAAAAATAAAATAGAAATCCTTAGAAAAATAATCCAGGACTCTCTATCCTTTGAAAATCTTTGAACACGTGGAAAGAAATGGATCACATTGTCCACCAACCTAAAGGAGTTAAATTATAATAGGCAATAGATAATCTGGGGTATATAATACGCAGCAGGCCTTGTGCCAAGTGCTGGTCTGTCTTCTCACTGAATCTTGGTGAAACTCGTTAAGAATAATTTCTGATGGTGATGAAAACAAAGTGAGTGGCTACACATAGGCATGCTTAAATATTCTAAAGTGTTATAAAGACTGATATATTCAATACTTGCTATTATTTTATTAAATGATCCCTGGCATTCCTTTATGCCTAGGCTGTACACAGTGAAATAACAGGTAGCTAACATGATATGTGATCCAACCCTTTCACATACCTCAAAACACTACCCAGAGGAGTGACATCAGCCTTGTTAGGAGAGCCATAGAAATGTTGAGCAATCTTGTTGGGAAACCACAGTTACATGGATTCTTCCCTCAGCTCCATAGGGATGCTCAGGTCAAATAGATTGGTGGCTAACCGGAAAACAGAGCTGACAAAGAATCCATTACCTTTCAGATCGTGGTTAGCGGCTTCAACATGAATCAGGTGTTTGCAAGGGCTGGACTCGGCTGGTTTCAGCTGTCACATCAGTAGAGTGGGGATGCTACCGTGCATGTTTATATGAATGAACTGAGTGAAGCAATGCATTTAAAAATGCCTCTTAAAGTGCTGACATATAGGAAGCGATAAAAACAGTAATTAAACACCCACTGTTTCAGCTTGCTTAGGAAATACAGAGCGGTGTGGGGCTCAGTCCAGGTGACACATTCTATAAAATGCATGATGTTTGAAAGGAAGAGCCTCGAGGCGTAGGGACTGGCAGAGTAGAAATGCCCTGTGGGTGAGATCCCTGTCTGTTCTTCCTCACCCATGCCACCCACCCTGGTCACTGAATCACTTACTCCACGTTGGTGAGGAGTTTACTGGAGTGTGAATACAAGAGTGTGTGGGGACACTGTATTCTCTCTTTTTTTTTCTTGGTAAATTATCACAAAGACTTTTTAACCCAGAGAACCCAGAACAAAAGCCAATGAGTGTTACGTTAGGTATCAGGGCGAACAACCCAAGTAAATAGCGTGGGAGGAACAGCTGTGCTGATGAAAGCGGTCTGGGCATCAGGCAGATCTCTGGACTCGTGGCACATTTCTGAACTTCTCTAATCTACACCTTAAAGGCTTGATAGGACGGTAATGTAGCACACTGGACCAGTGGATAATATGCACTCCATACAACGACTCTGTGTTTGTTTTCCGTATCGTGTCAACTATGTTTAAATTATTCTTTGCAAACGGTGTTTGTTTCTGTTCACCACCCGAAATGAACTCATCACTAATGGTGAGGTAAACAGGCTAGGCTCTAGAAGCAGGGACTGATGAGTGATTCAAACAGGCCGAGGTGTTCCATGGCCCCGGCCTCTAGCTCTGTGTCCTGGTTTCTACGGACACTCACCCAATCACACAGCCATTGTTTACTCTTCACAGTCTGATGGGCTTGGATGGTGTCACCTCCCAGAGGATGACCGCTGCACGGTCATACCTGTTCCCGAGGGAACACTTAACTCTGTCCGCATTCAGAAGCTGACATGAGGGCAAAGGGCTGGAAGGGCATGGGCTGAATCACATGGCAACCATCAACTGAAGAATCCTTTTCAAAGGCTGGCCGATGACTTCTGAAATGGACAGCATGTCTAGCACTAGGCCCTGAGTGGTAGAGGAAGCATCTCTGATCAAAGAAATACTTGGCTCTTTTCTGTGGGCCGACTGACCTGCACCAGGTCTGTGTGAGGCCTGGCAATGGCTAGACAAAGGCATTAAAGGAAAATGTGGAGCTTGTTCGATGGGGACTGCTGATGCCTTTATTTTTCTTGTGGCTACAGCTTATCTAAGACCACAGATGAATTGTGGCCCAAGTCTCCTTGGTTATCAGCTGTTCCCATTCAAGCTGGGTGACTGCAAGATGACAAGTCTGGCCCACAGTGAATGACACCACATCTGAAGGTCTGGTTCTGCTCCAGAGCAGAGAGAAAGCTCACCACATACTGAAGGGAAGTCACAAGCAGCAGCCCAGGGACAGGCTACCCTATGCAAGCTTTCCCATTACTCTAACTGTTCTTAGAAAGCACCGTCCATCTTTTTCTTCTCCCACACCCCGGTGCTCAGTGTGGGGACGTGGAAGGCTTGGAGTTGATAGGTCGCAACTAGCCAGGTAGCAGAGTATTCTGAAAGCCCCGCCCCTTTCCTCCCAAAGCAGAGAGCAGCAGAATGCTAGGGCTGCCTGCCTTCAGCTCTTCACAGTAGCTCTGCCACACTGAGCGCTGCCCAGTACAGAGCAGTGTGTTGGTTTTCTTTACTTTGTGTACTCAAGTGTTCATTCTTCTACGAGTCTGTTGTTTGACTGTACCAGATACAGTTTTGCACCTCAGACAACATTCTGCTGTCAGCAGAGACCCTCTCCTTCGGGGTTGTTCGCCCTGACTTGGAATTGTTCTATGGGTAGATAATCTGCTCTGTGTAACTGGTGCTGTTGTCTCCCCAACTATTTTCTTTTTAAGGATTTTGGTGGGGGAGTCACTTGAGGACTTAGTGTCAGGCCCCCTGAAATTGTCTTTGCTAAAAAGTGATCTGCGACTCTTTTTTTTTTCTTCCAGAAATCTCAACCTTCAGATATTATTTTCTGCAGGGGAAGGCTTTGTTCCCTGGCAACACCCTGGAGAAATCTCTGCAGGGAAGGAAGCCAGTCAACACACATCTCTTGGTTACACATTAATGGGGACAAGGAACAGCTTTTACAGAAAATTGATTTGGCCAGGAAAGAGATGAAGATCATGTGACCAGGTCGGCAGGAAGGGATGGGAGGGCTAGGAACAGGCTCCCTTCAGAGGCCAGGAGTGGAGGAACCTCTGGTAACCATGAAGAAAAGTTCTTTTCATACTTTTGACAAATATCTGCCTTTATTATGAACATCTGGGAAACCTGATGTGCAGCGTGTCCTTCTTAGTTCGTCTTTGGAGGGCAAAAATACAACCCTTAGACATTGTAAGATAAACATGTCAGAGGTTTTTATACTGCTCAGTAGTTAATTAAGCCAGCAAGATGATACAATCAGTTTGAGGAAGACAGCAAAGAGCCACACGTGAATGCTATGTGCCCACGAACAAGTCAGGATCATTTGTGTGTTTAAAATAGTGGAGATGATGGAAGCAGAGTTGAGCGGTGGTTGCTGGTGGCTGGGGATAGGAGAGAGAGTTAACTATCCATAGCCATTAAGTTGCACAGAGCCCGATGATTGAATTCTAAAGGTCTGCTTTTCATCATGGTGCCTCTAGCCAATAAAATAACCACACTGCACTTGGGAAGTTATGATCTTATCCTGGGTGGTTTTATTTTGTTTTACCACAATTAAATACAAAAACAAAATAACAGAAATGCCCTGGCCTCCAAGAAGTCCATCTGGAAATAC